CTGAGGAAAGTGGATGAGTGGAACAACCAGGGTTCACATCTGATCTGGATCAGACAACAGTTTACCCAAATAAAGTGCAGTGGTCTGTTTAGCAACAACATTTGTAACAATGAAATCAGCAGGTATGTCTACTATCTCTTCTTTATGGAATCATTAACAGACATTATCTCTTGTTTTCCATTCCAAATTGATTAACTCACTTTGTAGACAACACTATTACAAAAGACAATGAATGTTCAAAGAGCTCTGGTTATTCTTCTCCTTTTGTTTACATCTCAACTCGACACATCTACTGATAATTTAGAATTTCAAGGGACATTTTTGAATATTTTGGAGGTTGTTTGACTTGAAAACCTCTTCTCAGGTGACCAGTAATTTTTTTTTACATTAAGATATTGGTCAGTTAAAATGTAATTTGAGAACCTGGAACCAGTCAAAACAAAGAATGGAGTAACACGTTTTTGATTTGCAAATGGATGGATGAAAAAAACAAAGTAAAATTGCAAAAATTAATTAAAATCTAATTAAAATTAAAACAGCCGTCTCTAAGAAATGGTATTAAGACAACGTTAATCAATTTTTATCTACATGTGCCCAGAATCTAAACAAAGCCTGCACATGTTGCATTATATCAGTCACACTGAAAACACTTTTTTTTTTATTTTGAGAAGAGACGTGGCAGTGACAGAGTGATGTGTGGAAAAGGAGTGCTTAAGAAATTTCCTCAAGAGGAAAATAAAGCATTCTGCTTGCTGTGTGGTAAAAGTCAACCATATCACATGACACTAACTGCTACAAAACTGAGCCAATAGTTGTCTAGACAGGAGTGGTATCTAATATCAGGTAGTAACATATGGATGTAAAGAGTATACCCTTCCCATTTTTATCTTTGAAATATGTCTGGCATTTCTCTACACCCGCAAAGAAGGACGTGCTACATGGTGTCTAAAAGCAGATCTGAAGTGACATATGGATATCGAGGAGTCTCCGCTGCTATACGTTTGCTGCTCTGTGCAATCCGAGAAGTCTGAGTCTTAACCTCAATGCCACAGAGGGAGAAGCTCTGACCATCTGGCTACTTACTCCACATCTGGCCTCACGACCATGAAGCCACAGCTCGATGGGTGTAGGTCCCATCAACGGTCACATGAAGGCATGTGTTTAACCTCTGGTGGAGAAAGGGCTGCTTCAACTACAAGGTAGAGCTATACAGGGATTGCACTAATAGGTCAGAAATAGCTGTGGTACATAAGAAACCTTCAACACTTTGTGATTGTTGGGTTTAATCTGCTGCAGCTAAAAAAACTGACCTGCCACATAATAGGTTAAACAGAATGTGATAGGATGATGCAGAAAAGTCCACCTTTCAGACATGTTACATATTTGTAATTAATAGTATCATCCATCGTCACAAACACATCATTGCTCATTCATAATAAAATTGCCAAAACAATATGAATCAAACGTCTGCATGATTGTTAGCATTGGTGTTTGCAAGAAGCCCCCATGTCACTGCCTCATTTTCCCCTATAAATAAGGAACCACATTGTCTGTTGTAGTGCCATGTGTTATGAAGCGGGTGAGCTGTTACAGCAATATTATTTTTTAAGTAACAATTATTATATTTCTTTACAGTACTTGCCCACCAGGTATAAGGAATGAATAATATGACAAACACAACAACCATGCGTACCTGTTAGTCTTCAGGCAATACCACTGACAGCTCTTATAAATGACTGTCCTTCAGAACTGTCCTTCAGACATGCAGATCTGTACCCACATAAGACAGAAAGATGAAAAAAGACTAAAGGTGTAAAAGTGTCTATAAAGCATGTCATTTATTGAAAGTAAAAGACACACAAGCTAATCTTTACTGACACCCACAACAAGTTCTTCATGTATCTGACATTGATCTGGTCATTTAATATGGCAGCTGAGGTCAAGAGATAGATAAATAATCCCAGTGAGGTCGTGCCTTGTCATCTCTACCCATTATTCTCTTGCTGACATTGGTTTTAGTTTACCATATCTTTGTGAAGGTACTTCATCCCTGCTTCGTTCTTGTGAATTTATGAACTTTCAACATAAACACAAGGATATAGGATAGGTGAGACAATCCCAACACTGAGCTTTGTGGGTGCAGCGGGGTGGGAGCGTGGGAAAGAGGGAGAAAGGGGGATGGAAAAACTGGTGTAAAGAATCAAGTGAGGACAACATCTTAGAGATGTGGTCAGCAGGGGATACACCTGTAAGAGGTGTGGGCCCACCTGTAAACCACAAAGACGGAGTCCACCGAGTTCAACAGAGAGCAAAAGTTAAAGGAGCCGTAGAGAAGCATGACAAGTGGTAAAGAAAACAGGTTAACAACCGCGGGAGTCTTTTTAAGTCCAAATATATAACACAAACACAGCTTAGCAGTGCACACATGAGCACATGTGGACCTAAGCATGCAAAAACATGCACACCTCTATTTGATCCCAGTGTGAGTGGTCAGCCACTTCCCCCTGGAAACATCTGTTTATACAATCTGACTGACTGGGTGTCAGTCTGGTTTAGGTGGAGCAGGAGTTACCTCAGTACGATGGACAGAAGTAAATCCACAGCTGTACTTTTGTGAAGAAAGGTGGAGGTCAACAAATCTTAATCTACTAATTTCAACCAAAAACCCCAGAGATTTCCACAGAATATATCAACTCTTCTAATGGACACCAATAAAGTACGGCTGGCAGTGGATGTTAGGACTGTAAACATCATACATGGAGTAAAGCATGAATAACCGAATCTAATAGTAAGGAGCTAATAGTAAGTTAGCATTTAGTACCAAGACCAAAGTTAGAATGTTTCGTGGCTACGTTGCCAACTACTATAACTTTATTAAGAAAGTCTTGTTCCATCATTCCAATGTACAGCGTTAAAATAGAGCAGACGAATCCGCTGTTATGTGGTTCAGTTTTAGAAAGCAGATCGCTACTAGCTAGCATAGCACCTACCAAACGCTAGTTCAAACTAATTAATAAAGTAGCAATGACTGGCTGAGATATTTAAACTGTAAACTTAATACATACTTTGTTATTAACATATATATAATAAGAACAATTGATCTTATTTCTAAAAATCAAGGAAGGACTTAACCATCATAAAAAACTAGAGCTACATTCTTCACTTAGGTGGAGAGCCTAGTGAAGGCCTTCAACTTCATCTCATTTTTCCATCATTACTGAGTTGGAGAGTTTGGGGGCCCTCAGGCCAAACACTGTCTCCATTATACTTAACAATTTTCAGCGCCACCTGAGGCCTGGAAGCAGCCAGGTTCCAGAATGTAGTGGTCAAAAAATGTCCTTCCACTTCAAATATCTTTTATACTTAGCCAGACTCTGCAGAGCAGTGTGTGTGGTGCTGGGTGTCCCTCTCCTTCACACCATTGTTCTCACTGTGTTCTGTGTTTGGTATGATGGCAGTTTAATCCCTTCTTCCCAACTGAGTTTCCCACTATGAAAAAAATACACAGACTCCCTGCCAGCTGAGCCCTCCCAGGCATTTGTTTCATCCATTGCCCCTCAGGGGCAGAGCTTTAGCTCTTGTGGGCACTTCAGGCATAATCCAAGACCCAAAATCAAAGGTAATGACTAATGTCGAACACTGGAACCAAAATCCCATCACTCCTGAATTTTGAACAATAAAATACCAAGTGAGATCATCCCTGATGATCTTCTGCTGCTGGCAAATACATTAGTGGCATGTGAAGGAAACGAGACAAACAAGCTACAGTATGTGACAAGGATGACAGAAAAAAAAAAGATGGAAGGTGAGATGTTTAAAATGTTCTTGGTGTTTTAAGAAAGATTTCAGGGGGGTAAACTGAGATGTGAAAAGGGGTTTTACTCACAAAAGCCTGAGTGTCGAAGACACTTTAGAGAATAGTCTCAGGTGTCGACACGCATTGTGTCCAGCAGACATAGTAGAGCCACAGTTTGTCTCTATTTGAGCTGACATGACAGGATATACACAGCTGTCAAGTCTCATATTTCCAGAAAGAGGAGCAAAGGCTTCCATAAATATCGGCAAAGAAGAAGTAATAAGGTTAATCACTTCCTGGTCCGAATAGTATGTGAACTTAAAAGACACTAATCACTCTAAACAGATGAAATATTTGCTCCTTGTCGCACCCACTGTCTGAAGACAAAGCAGGATAACAGGAAGTGGAATGTTACTCTATTTTAAGAGCAAAGTGACAAACAATCATATTGTGTATTATCTTACTGGGGGTTTCCACATTGCAATGACCTTCACAGGTGGTCTGTGCTTAGTATCTCTGGCTACCATTGTTTTCTCCCCCATGCTGAAAAAACATGCACCTTTCCCTCTCCCTCAACAACCCCAATTTCCGACCTCATCCACAATAAATATACCAAACTAAGTTCAAGAGCCAACACGGCTAACAATATAAATAAAGCAAGAACCCAGAGCAGATAAGGAAGATTTTGTTAACCTTCTCACATGCCCTGCAGACTTCACATTGTGGATATTATTACAATAATCAGAGTTGCTTCATATGAATCTGAGTGATGCCCATGGATTTATTGTTCAGACCACAGCAGAGTGACGACTGCTGGAGGTTTTCGTCTCACAGTAAGAACAATCAAAACAATAAAATACAAATTTCAATTTAATTGTTTGTGGAAGTGGTTGCTCATAATTAAAAGGAAGAAGTGAAGTTGGAAAGTGGGAGTGGTGATAGAGAACACCTGCCCGGAACAACAGCAGCCACTAGAACAGCTTGTATTTCCACTAGCAACCACCAGCTGCCAGGAACCCCAATAATGTGACACGAAATAAAAGCAGGAAGCCCTGTTTCTGTTTGTTTTTTTTGGTCGGCACTAACGCAAAGAGTCCCACATCTCCAGAGGAAAACCTCTGCACTGCGGTCACATGAGGGCAGACAATAGACGACGGAAGAAAATGAAGTAAAAACACACAATGTCTAATGACACAACACCAACCTCTGGAGTGGAATCTTGGGTCAAGCACAGAAGCGATTTTCTCCAGTTAAATCCAGATGGTCAAAGAGTCCTTTCCCTGCTCTTCAAAACCTTTGGAGAAAGCAAAAAAAAAATGCATCGAGTCCAAATCACTAAACCATGCAACCTCCAGAGAGCACGAACACTTCACACACTGTTTGTTTTTCAACAAAAACGAACATCGATCTGTGCGCTCATCAGTATTTTCCATCTAAGCCGGCCAGAGAGGAGCAGATGCACCTGAAGATACTTTTAAAATGTTGTTCACAAGGTCATGAGACAGACTGAGAGAAAAGACAGACACTGATGTCAGCATCATTCATGTGGATTTGAATGTGTGTCAAGGGAAATGTTGCATAATGTTTAGTACAAAAACACACTGTACTTGGATTATGTATTTCTGTATATTCACTCAGAGGACATTTTTGTTTTATTTGTAAATGCAAGTTTGAGGCCTCGTGATGGGTTAAAAGTATAGTATTCTGAATTTAAAAAATAATGAAATGTAAATTCTCGGCTCAATACACTCAACCTATGAGACAAGATTACTCACGATATTTGGTTCACTAGTACTTTATAAAACAATCTGGGGGGGGGGGGGGAGTTTAAATCCAGAGTCTACCATAATGCTACATCAGACGCCTGTTAATGAGTGACTACTGGACATGGTCATTCCTTCAGAACTAGTCAATAAAAATTCAATAGGACAACTGAGCCGGATCAAACATCTTCCTGCTGTCATTAACACGCCCGGGTCACTCTGCCCTTGCTGTCCAAAATCTCATATACATCCTGCTGTAGATAATTAACTAATGGCTGACACTCTTTTCCTTTAACTCTCCAGGGTAACGGTCCGTTAATGGATTGTGTCCTGAGAGTAGCACTTAGCTCTGTTTAACAGCCAGGTCAAAAATCCAAACATCAATAGTCGCAACATTAACAAGATTGCAGTGCACTTCCCAAAACCAACGCCGTGGGACATCCATAGAAGATCTTACTGGCAGAAGACTGAGTGTCTGGACATGTTATTACTTTACAGTCAGATGCAACTAACTGTAAATATGTACAGACAGGTAAATGCCATACTTTAAGATGAGTTGGAGATTAGTTCAAAATAGAATTCGATTAACAAAACATTTCTGGCAAAGATGCACCATGGCTGGCTTTATGTGGCCCACACCAAAAGGATGTGAACAAGGAGCATTTTACCACAATAACACAATATCATTTTTATTTTTTTTAAAGATATCACTATAGCTGTGTTTGCTGTTTAGAAGTTTCATCCACTTTTCAATAGAGCTCCCATAGAAGGTCTGTGAAAGAACAGTTCCTATGGTTATGTTACAGAATTGGAAAACAAACCTATGTTGTGTATGATAATAAAAGACCAGTCAGTTTTGTCATAATTTAAGGTCTGATCCTGAAGAAACTTTCTGGAGTTTGGTTTACTGCCATGTTGGTTCTGTTCACAGTGGTAAGCGTTTGCATATTACAGTAACTTTCATGTGTTGAACATGAGGAATGTAAAGGAGGAAAATTGGATTTTGTGAATTTAATTTGACCTCTACTACTGTGATTGCATAAGAGGACATTTTACCAGGCACTGTTTTGGTCTTGTGATACACTTGCACACACAGTGTTTTTGTTAGACTGTCGTTCTGGTGGTTTCTTTGTAGACTGTTGTCTCAAACTGTGATCTGATGAAGCAAGGTATGACATGGTAAGGCCTTTTGTTTTAGACACCGTTACTGCAGTTGCTGGCGTTTCAAGCTCAGCTGTCTCACAGCTGGGGGCAGACTATTAAATGAGGACTGGGGGCTGTCTGTAGGTACATTTGTTGCTGCTGCCAGGCCCACTACAAATGGTTCTTTCTTTTAGTATTTTAAAAGCTTAAGGAAGCAGTAGGGTGGAAGGTAAGTGTGTGGTTTGTAACATAAAAATAAGTGATTTCAACATACAACATTGAGGACAAGGATTCAGTGCTGTCCTGCTGGGACAACAGCAGACATGAGCGGTATAAGTATAACATTTGATCGTTTAAGGATAGATCTGATGGTTCACCTGGTTCTTTTATACCAGTCACTTAAACCTTCCAGAGATAGATCAGGACTTCAGGCAGGTCAGTCAAGCACTCTTTCTATGAAGCAGTTAATTCATAGATATTTTAACATATGATACATTTAAAAAAAATGGTAACAACTTTTCTGCAATTGAGGTTTGTGAGGCAAACCTTTGTTGAAAACGAATTTCATTCATGAGCAATGTACATCATGAGAACACTGGTCAATGCTGTCAACGATTCTTGACCGACGTATGTATTTAGTCAATAAAAACTGAGCATTTCTGTAATTGTAATATCTGTATTAAAACTTTTGGAGTTCCCTATGTAAGCTTATATCCTGGAGCTGTACAAGCAAAAGTGGTATTCTAATTGTCCTGATAAATCAAGGTTTGATATTTTATCAAGCATAAAAGGAAAAATAGAAGTCAACGTAGAGACATTGACCAATGCCATTGCCAGATGCCTGATATCTCCAGATGCCTCCAATATCTCCTCAAACCTAAAGCCACCTCTCTGGGGAGGAGGCCCTTAATAGAGCACAGATATTAGTTGATGATGATGGCTACCAAATATAAAAAACAATTGCAAAAATGTAACACATCAAAGTGAGGAAAACAAAGTCCACTGTTGTAAACATATGGGAACATGTGGCGTTTGCAGGGAGAAACAATAGTCATTGTCATTGTAGACTGGGTTTAAAAACCTGTGTTAAGACTGGAACTGAATTGGCATTACAGCTGTGTGCTCATAAAATACAAAACAGATCTGACTAACAATGACTTCATCCCTGCACTCAGCTGCCAGTGTGTGTGTGTTTATGTGTGTGTATAGACTGTGTTTCAGTGGAACATTTTTTTCAGGACCAGCAAACGGTTGCTGCATCAGCACCACAGAAACCACTCAGTGGCACACAGTGCATAACAGTAAGCATCTAGGATCGTACATGTGCAACTGGAGGACTTAGGTTGTTTGAGTCCAACACAAGTGGAATCTCATACTTCTGCTGCCCTTTGCTGTGCAGAGTGCAGGGGACGTGCAAAACATTAAAAAGTACAAATCAAAGCAATTATTGTTCTGGAGAATAATACACATTGTCTGTTCTTGCTCAGCTGGTCAGCTGCATTACATTCACCACACATTATTTTTGGAGCCAGAAGTGAAACAGAAGGGCTTTGAAAGCCCTGCCAGGAGCTCTTCAAAGAGAAGTGGGGAGAAAAAAAAAGTGGGGTTCTGGTGCCTATGTGATGGAGGCAGCTGTGATCTGTTGATGGCAACTGGAGGGTTGGAGCATTACTTCAACACATACGGTGTTGACCATGTCAACACTGGTCAATGCAACTTTTTCATGTCTGATACCGATTCTGCTGCAGATAATAGTGTCCATGTTTATGAGCTGAGCATTTAGGATTAGGTATCAGATTGGATGGGCGATAGCTGTTTTGTTTTGTTTTTTCCGATGTTTGATCCTGAAATTCTGACCAATATCGGACTGATACGATACTAGTATCGAGACATCGCCATTGTTTACTGCAATTGTTAACATACATAAATCACATATCTCTGCATGTATGTGGATCTGGTTGTATTGTCCTGGGTCAATAGTTGACTGGTCAAACATCATGTTTTTATCCAGTCGTTATCCTCCAATCTATTCATGTATTAATGTATTTTGGCGGTTATAGACCGTAGAAACTAATGGTCTAAGATGTCAACCAACACACAACGCAAGTGTATGACATGATCTTTTGAATTAACCTTATTTTTTAAACTGTATTTTCTTGCATTCATTCCTGGAGTTCTTAACGACTCCGAGAACATGTAACAAGATTCTCAGACATTGTAGCCCTTTCTAAATGAGGTTATGCCATTATGTCTGACTCCATCTCCTCAGTTAGGCCCTAATTCGTCTGACACAGGCACATATAACATCTGTTCCCAAAAAAAGCACTTAACATTGTAGCACAAGCTGAGCCATTAAAAATAAAGAACAGTACTGTATGTGTAAATAAAAACACAAAGTGTGTTTCACTCCCTGGGGCACATGCTGATTGCACACTTTGCACTAATGTAAAGATTATCCACACTATCCAATTTCCTCTCCTATATACGGTAGACGTGTGCATATGTATATATGCACATGTGTTGGTGTATGTGTGCGTCTCTACGCCACAGACTGCACACACAATGACATCACCCAGTGGTGATTTGGGCGTTAGACTCAATGTGAAATACACCAGATGGCCACAGGGCATCACTCAGCAAGACAGCTTTGTAATTCTCACAAGCAGATAAGAAAAATCAATGAAGGCAGGATGAAAAACAATGACCTTTTCATGACTGTGTCCTGTATCTGTTGAAGTATGTGTTGCTTTTGATAACTTTCTTTTTCTACAACACAAGACAGTGAGGAGAGGCAAATTTGAACTTTATCAATTTATTTATTTACTATCAAACTCTATCACTGTAATTCCTGCAAAACTACCAATGTCACTGAACAAAGAAAAATAATATTAACTAATGATTAATCCTTGCCTATGTTTTGATTAGTCAACCCTTTTAAACTAGTCTAAACTATCAAAAGTGTCTTATTGTAAATATGAATCAACAGGAGACTGTTGGAGACTGAGCTGCTTCATTGTCTAATAAAGGTTGCACAAGAACAAGGCTAAATATAGCACCTTCTCATGTTGGAGTGGACAACACAGTGTTGAGGCCAAAAAACACTCTAACATGGAAATGTGTCTGCCAACAGTGACATAAGCTTAGAATCCTTCAGTCAACCATCACAGGGCCACATACAGTCCCGGTCACTCACACCTTAGATCCTAGGTCCTTCAGTCCGTTACTTAACTTAATCCCTAACAGGTTTCACAAAAACTCCAACACACATGGGGAAAACAAACTCCACCCAGAAAGACCTCTGGAACAGTGATCATCTTACTGCAAGGCAAGAGCATGAACCACTATGCCACTGTGTGGCGCTCCCCTGCACTTCCTACAGTACTTATTT